CAAGATTTTTACCTACTTTCTTTTCCAATAGATTTAGTGTTTCTGTTTTAATATTGAAATCGGTGAACCATTTTGACTTGAGTTTGGTGCACGGTGATAGGCTTGGGTCTATTTTCAGTCTTTGGCAGGTAGCAAGCTAATTTTTCCAGCACCATTTATTAAAGAGGTTACCATTCTTCCAGTGAGTTTGTTTGGCCCCTTTATCAAATATTAGGTGGCTGAGTGTGTTTTTGGTTGTGGCTGTTTCTTCCAGTCTATTCCCTTGATTCTCAGGCCTGTTTTTTAGCCAATACCAGGTTGATTTTATGACAATAGCTTTGTAGTGTAATTTCAGGTCAGGGATTGTGATTCCACCTGACTTGTCCTTGTTGCCAAGGATTGCTTTTGCTATTCTGGGTCTCTTCTGCTTCCAGATGAATTTAAGGCATACTTTCTCAAGATCTGTGAGGTATGTTAATGGTAGTTGAATGGGAATTGCATTGAATCTGTACAGCAGTTTTGGGAGTATGGCCATTTTCACAATGTTGGTTCTTCCTGTCCATGAGCAAGGAATATTTTTCCATTTACTGAAATCTTCTTCGATCTCTTTTTTCAGAGTACTGTAGTTATTACACTAGTTTGAACCACTAAGAATAGCATGTGTTGTATTGGCATTAGTGATTATTCTCCCTTTTTCCATTATTCGTTGGATTAGATCATAGGTTGCCCTGGCCATGGGTGACTCAGGTCAGTTTAGCCTTGCCTTATCCAAAGGCAGCCTATAGGTAAAGACTGTCTTCTGACAGCACTCTCCATACTGGGGGAATATCATTCATGCCTAAAAATGACCTGCAATAGGCCACTGCAGTGTTTTTTTTAAAGTAGCATGTTAAATTTATTAAATTCCGTAGACATAGATATGAATACTATACTAGTCATATTGAATATCCCCAGATTTCTTATCTACATTTTTTTCCAGCTTTCTTCTCTTCAGGTTTCTAATTATATCACTGGAAAATGATGATAAGAAATAGGAGATAGACTGTCTTATTTCAAGATCTCAAATAAAGCTATTAAACTCAAAAGACTAGTTTACATAGAATGGACACAATCACTGAAAATCATGCAGAATATAGAGTCAAGAAATAAACATCTACTTAAAAGGTGGATATTCAAAAATCAAAAGCCACCAAGGTAATTCAATAACAAGAGATAGGCTTTTTTAGAAAGAATGTTGGAAAAACCGTATCACACACACACACACACACACACACACACACACACATATAAGTGTATCCACCCACCTTAAAAAAAGAAATCAACATGTCCTTAATTACACATTGTAAGCAAAACATAACTTAAAATAGTCAATCTAAATGAAAGATCTAAAATTATTATAAGAAAAATTTTACAACCATGTGTTGGGTATAGATTTCTCAGGATGAAAAGCTTAAATTAAAAAGATGGACATCATCAAAATCACAACATGTTTGTTCTTTCATAGACTCTATTGGAAGATAAAAATCGCTTGACTGAAGGGGATAAAATAATTGTAAAACATATACATTCTAAATTGCGCAAGCATTTATAACAAAACACAAAGAGAGTTTTCCCTAAAGTTTTTCTTTAACGACTTTTAATACTTGTACAAATTAGAAGTTACCTATCAATGGTACAGAAAAGAGATACTTAAATTATGCTTGGCACAAACCTAAGTGAATGCTTTTTCTTGATGATCAGGAACAAGAGAAGGACATTCATTCTCAGCACTTCTTTGTAACTTAGTATTGCAAGTTCTAGCCAGAATATTAAACAAAAGAAAGAAAAACACACCTTAGTAAGAAAGAGAGAAGTAAGACTGTTTCTATTTGCAGACAACATGATCTTTTATAAAGAAAATCTTGAAGACTCCAGCAAAAAACTGTTATAACTTTTTTAAAAATTCAGTAAATGCATAGGATGTAAAAATCAATATAGAAAAACAATGTAATTTGTAATATTAATAAGAAACTTATCCAGAGAGTAAATTAGGTAAATAATTCCCTTTACAATTGCAACAAAAATGGTAAATACTTAGATGTGAATTTAACCAGCAAGATAAATGACCTGTACATTAAGAACTATAAAAAAACTGATGAAAGAACTAAAAAATGAGAAATAACTGGAAATTTATTTTATTTTAAAGTACTGGAAAAATAAATATTGCAAAAATGTCCATGCTCCCAAAAGTAATCTCTACATTCAGTACAATTTCTATCAATAGCTTAGACTTATTTTTAACAGAAAAGGAAAAAATTAAAATTTGTATGGAACCACAAATTTGCCACAGCGATATTCAACAAAATGAAAAGCTGGACATATCATATTCTCTGGTTGCAAAACATATTTTATTGAGATTATGTTGAAAGTTGAATGGTAGCATTATAAAAACAACCTGGCCTATGAAACAGGATAAAAAACCAGAAATAAAGCCACACACTTATATTTAACTGATTTTTTTACTACACTACCAAGAGCATGCAATGAGGAAGGTATACATTCTTTAATAAATGGTAATGGAAAAGCTATGTCAAAGAATGAAATCAAACTCTTAACACATATACAAAAACTTACTCAAAATGGATTTTAAAATTTCTGAAACTATAACATTCTTGGAAGAAAATATAGGAGAAAACATTTCTAATTTCTGGACAATGATTTCTTGAATATTAACCCTGAAGCACAGGAAACAATAATAACAACTAGATCCCTTTTTGATATGCTGTGCATTATGCCACAGAATTTTATCATGTCTGAGGTCAGTACAGAACCAAAACCATACAGAAGAGTCAACTGCATTTTTCTAACCTTGTGTATACTCTCAGCCTGCCTCCAGGGACGAGCGGCTGTCTCCTTGCCTAGACCATATACCATGTGAATCTCTGAGTCTCAGATTCTGATGATAGTACTGAGCTTCTCACTCATATGAAGTGCTATTCACACTTTATCAAATGCAGCAGTACCTTAGCATACTGTTGTTCTTAATTCTACAAGGAGGTTTTCCTCAAGCTCTTTCAAAACACTGCATTACTAAACTGTGTGATATTCCAAGTGGGATGTTGGTGTTATTTTAACTAACTGAAGGTTTAGTTGTCAAGATGACCTGAAAATTTTGCTTCATATCTCCCATACCAATGATTCAGTGATATTTTTAAATACCAGAATATTATATTTGAAAGGTATAAACCTTTGCTTCAAGCATGGCACTTTCTCTGAGAGGCTGAAAAATTTATCTTATTTCGTTTATGTGAAAATCCTTCAGAAAATTATTGTGAAAGACTAAACTCAAAAAATGAAAGGCTCAAAAAATGTGATATGGAATCCAAATATTCTAATGACAAATCAAAGCAATGTTTCAATGTGTAGCATAGTATAAGGAGGCACAAACTTTGAATTTTCTATGCCTTCCATTTTCCTAATAATATAAATAATATAGGTAAGTCCACTCACACGTTTGAAATTTTTGTGTATCTGTCTATAAACGTAGAGCACAAAGTTTATGTATAAATAAATACATACATATGGATAAATGTGTGTGTGTGAGAGAGAGAGAAAGAGAGAGAAAGAGAGAAACTACCACAAAATGAAAAATTTCGCTCGTATCTGCCAGACCAATGATTCAGTGATTTTTTTTTTTTTTTTTTTTTTGGTTTTTCTCCGGTACCAGGAACCGAACTCACAACTTTGCGCTTGCCAGGCAGGCGCTTTGCCGCTGAGCTAAATCCCCAGCCCCTCAGTGATGTTTTTAAATACCAGAATATTGTATTTGAAAGGTATAAACCTTTGCTTCAAGCATGGCACATTCTCTGAGAGGCTGAAAAATTTTCTTACCTAGTTTATGTGAAAATCTTTCAGCAAAAAACTGTCATAACTTACTAAAAATTCAGTAAATGCATAGGATGTAAAAATCAGTATAGAAAAACAATGTAATTTATAATATTAATAAGAAACTTATCCCAAGAGTAAGTTAGATAAACTATTCCTTTTACAATTGCAACAAAAATAGGCAGAAATTCAGAGTGACTATAAAAGGTTCAATTCTGTACATAGGAAAGTAAATTTGTATTAGCCCTGAAAATATTTCTATTTTCTCCTTAAGTTAAAATGCATAACAATGAGCTGTCTAGAAGTATTGAAAATATTATTGTTCAGAGTATTTGTTTTCAAATCATTGATCACATTAGAGGAGTATAGTGGAAGCTTGCAGATCCTATCCTTTTAAGTGTGTTTAAAATACCTGTGGACTTTATTCATTTCTATTTTTCACTGAAACAGACTTCTAAAGAGAGATTTTTTATTTAGAAATACCGTGTATTTAACATTCATCATAATTTTAACAACATGTGTTCATAGGGGAGAAAAGCCAAAGCACTCGATTTTGAATTTGCTTAGTCTTCACCCCATAAATGATGGGGTTGAGCATAGGGGGTACAACCACATACAGGTTGGCCACTAAGATATGGATGTGACCAGGGATGGTTTCACCTCCAAAGCGGTGGGCAAAAAATGAGAAGAATGCTGGTGTATAGAAAATAAGGATGACGCAGATGTGGGAAGCACATGTGTTAAGAGCCTTAAATCTGGCCGCCCAGGAAGGGATCTGAAACACTGTACGAAGGATCATTGTGTAGGACATAATGATGAACACTACATCCAGCCCTGTGGACAGCAGGGCCATAGTCAGTCCATAAATGATGTTGATATTGATATTGTCACATGCCAACCTGGCAATGCCCATGTGTTCACAGTAGGAATGGGGAAGGATTTTTCTCCCACAATAGAAGAGTCAATATACCAAGAAGATGAATGGACAGCAAATGAGAAAGCTTCGGACCATGGCCGCTATGCCAATCTTCCCAATGACTGTGGAGGTAAGGATTGCGGTGTATTTCAGTGGGTAACAGATGGCTACATAGCGGTCAAAAGCCATGGCCAGGAGAATAGCAGATTCTGCCACAAAGATGAAATGTATGAAGAACATCTGTGACACACAGCTTCGAAAGGATATAGATGTGGACTGGAACCAGAAGATGGCCAGCATCTTGGGGGCTGTGGCTGTGGAAAGTAGGATATCTGCCAGGGCCAGCATGGAGAGGAAGAGATACATGGGCTCGTGGAGGCTGCGCTCAGTCACAATCAGGAAAACCAGGAAGATGTTGCCTATGACAGCCACAAAGTACATGAAACAGATCGGGATGGAGATCCAGGTGTGCAAGGCTTCCAGTCCTGGGATTCCAATCAGAACATACCACACGTCCTGGGGACTGGTTTGATTCTGGAAGGAAGGAGCCATCTGCGCTGTTTAGTCTAGGCCCTGTGTCTTTAATGAAAGATAACGAGGTTGAGGATTCAGGAGCACCACCTTGGGCTGAATTAGGTCTGGCCATGTTTTCCCAGTGTTATATTTTCATGCGTGTGAAATGACAGTAAGATGAATCACATAGCCTACAACTTGACTGCTTCTATAAAATAAGTAATTCTTACGTCTTGAAAAGTAGTTATGATTTCACAATAGCTTAATAATAGCCTCTCATGTATCACAGTACTTCACATACAGGAACTTACTCTATTTTTACAATAGTCTGTTAAAAAGGCTTCCACAATAACCCATAACATGAATACGACTATTTCTTCTACAGATGAAAAAAAGAAGATTCTACAGATAATCCTCTTACTCTAGGTCCAAAATCAAACAGGATAAATCTAAAAGCTTTGATGTGAATTACAGTCTACCACTGCCTGTAAAAATAAAACTAGATACAAAAACATATCAAGTTTTTTGCTGTTCATATCACTGAGGAAATTAGATCTGAAACTAAGATTTTCTGCTTATGGAAAAGGAAGGGTATTTAGTCTGAAAAAATAAATTCCAAACTGTATGATTCATACATCTTCTTCCCTGTTAATTGACCACTATCTTGATGTTCAGCTCTATATTGGTTATTGAGGGCACACACATGATTAAACTGATCCTTGTCTACCAATGAGTCAAATTCTCAAAATCATATGAGACGTTAAAATCTAAACTCTGCAATGACAGACTGAGCTAAGATCTTAAATGTGTTTGCTAAGTATGTGGTAATGAAAAGTTAATCTATTCTCTTCCACCTGAATCACTGATCGGAAATTAGGTAATGGTTGGGCATGGTGGTGCACAACTGTAATCCCAGCACTTGGGAGGCTGGCCAGGAGTTCGAGGCTAGCATGGGCTATGTAAGGGAGTTCAAGACCAGCCTATACTACATAATGAGACCGCAGCTCAAAAAAAGAGAAAGATAATGAACTTTATATTTCCAGATATATGACAGCAGCAAGTAATTTAACTTTTTCATGTTATATGATGTATATAATTCTTCAATAAAAAGAGGAGGGCATTCTATAGATATATGCATGAGAATAAAATTAAGATATGTAGGGGCTGGGGATTTAGCTCAGTGGCACAGCACCTGCCTGGCAAGAGCAAGGTCATGAGTTCGATTCCCGGTACTGGAAAAAACAAACAAACAAAAAAAACATATGCAAGATATGTGGTTGATAGATAGCTCCTATCCTCTCCCAGTGCCTGTCAAACAAAATAGCTGAAGTTCTTATTTTCAGAGGTAGTACAAGGTATTAAGAAATGATTACCTTTTTATACATTTATTCCAGTGCAATTCTGTATACTAGACATATGTAGCATAGTTTTGCAACTTTTTCTATTCATTACCTGTTAAATGTCTGAGCTTTCTTTAATTGAGATATTTGACTCTTGTTTTTTAAAATTACAGTTAAATATACAATACCTACATGACTACTCAGTTCAACTTTGTCTAAGTTCTTTAAAAATAATCGAATAATAAATTAAGGTATACATGTACATAGATCTACTTTACATAAGCCAATTACTTAACTTTGAACATATAGCATTTATTTTTCTTTTTTTTTTTAAAAAAAAAAAAAGGATGTTCAGGTTTCAGGAAAGAGAAAGAGAAGATTAATTCTGAAGCTCACTTGCCATGGATCTAAGGCAGAGCAATGCGTGTGAGTGGTGAGTACTCAGGAGGGGAAGGTTACAGCGAGTGTGACTTCTAAAGGATATTAGAGATCCGGCACCCTAGGACAGGTGAAAGAAAGAAACAGAAATGGAGATGTGAAGAAAAGGAGTGAAATTCTACATATTTTCTTTTAACTTTGCTGATGATTTTTTAGGTCACAATCTTTTATTTTGCTTTGTTTTCAATGTAATACTATCACTTATGATTACTCAAATTATAGGCTGGTATTCATTTTAGTATTACTCTATGTATTGATGGAGCAGTGTAGCTGAATTCTGAATGCTCAGATGTAGTGGAGGGTAATAGAAATAGCATTCAACTATGTAGTTGCATGTAATTGGATTGAAGTAATGGCTAAGTCATATTCTAGCTTCATGGTTGAAAGAAATTACTTACTTTGAACTTTAGTTATTTGCTTACAAAATATCTAAACATTATTATTTTAATTCTGAAGTTAGTGTTTTAGAATGGTAGCTACATAAATCAGACACTTCTCTATCCCAACAAAAGATGTTCTAGAGTACTTGTTACGTAACCATCATTAAGATCAAAATATTTATTATTTAAACAAATTTAACCTTCTGGATATCAGGCTTATGATCTACTAAGGTGAGAATGAATTTGTTTATGGTGTCTACAAGGCCAAGATGTATTTTCTTATATTGCACTTGACACATAATATAAATCGGTAATCCTCACTCCAAATCTACCTTTATTTTTTTTAAGTGAAGACACTTAGCATAGTGATGGGCACATGGAGTTAGAAATGGAGTATTATCCTTGCCCTATCACTACGGAAAAACCTTTTACACAGGGAATCAAGTTAAAGTCTAGAGGTTTCAGCGTTTGAATCTGTGCCTAGCTAAATACATGATGTGTGGAGATTATTCAGACAATTTTTATGAAATAAATGCATGCATATATAATGCATATATACACATTATTTTAACTATTAAACTTATTTAAACATTAAGACTTGTTTTTAATTTCCAGCTCACTTTATCTATGCACAGCACAGGTCTGTATCTAAAAGAAAAAAAGAACTTGTCAGGTGACACATTTAATAAAAGCGGATTAGAAAGATATCAAAATTACAGATCGACTGCAGCTAAAGTTAGTGCAGTACCTCCTGTGTTAAGACTAAGGAAAATGTGAGATGATTAAGTTTTTAGAAGAAATTGTAGCTTCTACAGTTTTCTGACTTCTCTCCTGTTATTTTCTATGTGTGTGCATTGAACATAGTTTGTTTTACTTACTTGTATTATGTAGAATTCCAAGGATATTTATCAGGCTGAGTGGAGAAGAAACAAAAGCAAGGAGATGCCCAAAATCCAGATAACAAACCTGGAGCTGTTTATTTATACATATTTTAACATATCTCTTGGGTCCCATGTTTTCAGTCTCAGAGGACTGAATTTGGCTTCTCCTTGGAAGATAGCCCTGAGATGGTTCTAGTACAAAGTCTACCGGGAGAAACAACCCTGTTATGTCTTCTACAATTTGCGTGACATTTTCTCTACCTTGCACTCACAGATACCCAAGTTAACACAGACTATTGCAGGTTCAAGTGTGGATATCAAAGACTCAGGTTAGTACAACTGTGTCCTGTTCCTCAGAGACATCTGCAAATAGAGGTTGTAAATGCTATACAAAGCAGAAGGGTAGTGTGCTTCCTAGAACATACATAATCTTAAGACTCCTTGGTTTCTGTCTCTTTTATTGGTCACATGGGCATGCTGCTCAATGTTAGGAGGGTCTCTAACTGCCACCAACTACTATGGAAATACCATTCAGTCTTTGAAGGATATTTTAATGAGGGATACGGAAGGAGGAAAAAAGACATGAAGACAGATGTCATCATATTCATGGGATTCAAAACTGACACCATGCAAATACAAGAAATTTGTGTAGAGAGATGTTTTCCCATTAATTCGCCTCAGGTGTAACCTCACAAATGTCTATGAGTTTCATGCATTTATCTAAGATTTCCTGAAATATTTTCCACCTACAATTGAACTTTCTTACAAGTAGAATGCCTGATCACTGACTGATTTTGATTTCATGATCAAAACCAGGCAAACACCAACATATTCCAGCAAGTCATCAGACATCTTTGTGTTCACTGGATGAAAGCAGCTGAGATACACAAAATATTTCAAAGGATGTTCATCCAAATCCTAAAAATCATAAATGATGGCTAAGGGGACCTCTTCTCCTTTCTCCTTTAGATTTAAAATGAGCAACACTTATTGTATTAGTACTCTCTAGAGGAACAGAATGAATATTAATTTCACACACACACAGAGAGGATGTGTTAAATTTATAGGATCTGATGTGGAAGAGTACATAAGGGCTGTTTGCAGGGTCAGAAGTGACCTCATCTGCATGCTGGAAAGCTGGCAGATCTAGTCACTGCTCAGCCCGAGAAGACAAAAGCTACAGAACAAGGCAGAGCAAGGAGGCTGCACCAGTGCAAAGTCAAAGGCTTGGAAAGTCACCGTAGAGTCACCAGCACAAGTCCCCATCAGAAAGTTGAGGAAAATGAGAACCAATGTCCAAAGGCAATGGCAGAGACTGGAGCTCACCAAACTGGGCACATTTCCTTCCTTCCCTTTTTATTTTCTCCAGCTACAAGCCTACTGGTTGGTGCCACCTATATCTAGGTTGAAAGTTCACCCCTTAATTGGCTGGCCTACCTATCAGTCATCTTTCCATCTGTTTTTAGAAAACAAATTAAGACAATGACAATATATTAGAGGAAAATAAATTGAGAAGGGAAAATGAGAATTTATATGAAAATGGAAATTGACTTTCTATTGTCTGATGGTGACCAGAATAGCAAACAATTTGGTTCACAGATGGAATCTGTAGACTCTACTGATGACTTATTCTGATATTTTTCAAATTTAGCTAATATTCATCAGTATTTGTCCCATCCTCTCAGTAGTTATGAAATTTTTAATCAAAAGTGTGTGGTAGACAATTATTTTAGATACACATAATGAACAGGAAAGGAGAAATCTAACCTGTATCTAGTTTAGAACCAACTTCTAGTTTATAATATTTTAATTTTTAGGACCTTCATACATTTAGTCTTCCTTACAGAGCTCTATAATCAATTATCTGAAATTCTTGGACCAAATGTTTTGCAAAACTGTTTTTCTAGACTTTAGAAAAATTCCTTGATATTAAGTTAAGATATTGGTGTCTTAATTAGTCTGTGACAACTGTATAGAGGGATATTTCTATAGGAAACATA